GGACATACGGGCTACACAGCACATAGAGTAAAACTTTTTAGGTGGACATTTGAGCTGCATCTGAGGAGCTGAGCTGTGGTGTTTCATGTGATGCTCTGCAGGACAGAAATGTCAAAGTTCACTTTCAGAAAGCGTTCAGAGACGTTTCCACGTTAGTCTGTTGAGCAGAGACTCACAGAGGAGCTGCAGGTCTCACGGAGATGAATCCTGCAGGTCAAATACAGGGACGAACCACCAGGAGGCAGCAGCACGCTGACACATGCATGAACAGAAGACACTGACAACAACAGGAAGCGTCGGCAAGACTCGAAAACTGTCGACTGAAGATTGATATTTAAATACTGTATATTAAAAAGAACAAGTACTAAAACATCAACACAGACAAAACATATGTAAACATAAACTTGTGCTTAACCTCTGTGACCTTTGAACCTGTGAGACCGTCCCGATGCAGAATAAATCACGCGTGACGCAGTTTCCTGTTATCTTCTGAGCTCGTCACAGAAACTGGTTTCATCATTTATATGAACATCACATACATATATGAATGATGATATTGTTGATTTATTGATGTGCATATCACTTTAATGCTGCAGCTGTTGATGGTTTTAATCACCTATCTACTGCTGGCCATCCCGATCCGTATAAACAAGCTTAATTTAAGCAACTAAACCTTGGAAGACAACAAAAACTAAAGTACTTTACTTGTACTCTATTGCAGTAGAAGTGACGATTGGTCCTGGTTTTTGATTCTCAGAATAATCCTTCTTTCTCTGATTCTGGCTTCAGCGCAGGGTCAACCCCTCACTTCATCGTCCGTCGTACACTGGCTGATTTAGCTTCTCCTTTAGGTTTGAACAGCAGGGGTCTTCCACCTTTCTATTATATCATCCAGATCCATCCCGTGTTTCCAGCAGCCCGAGCTCTGGGCTCACAGGATTATTGTACATACAACGAGGTCATTATTACAAACTTGGGTCATGTTTAATCAGAACATCTCCCACAGGAACAGGAAACACATGACTGGAAATATGGAAGAAGAACGAAGCAGGTCCAGGTAAAGGGAAACACAGCTAGCTGAAATGAAGCGGAATGACCCTTTAAGTTGGCATTTCAGCTCAGCAGATAAAGAGGAAATATCCGTCTCTGCGTCGAGCTTCTCACCTTCATATAAATGAAAATATTCAGCTTTTTAAAAGAATTTATTCAATGTGTAATTTATACATCAATCAGCAAATGAGCTAAAACATAAATAACTGGAAATTACATTTCAAAACACAAACATGCAAAATATTTTCAGTGAAAAAACTGTCAGAAAAAAATATCCACAAATGTAATAAATAGAGTAAAAAATGCCCAGAGTGTCAGAAAACATCATGTTTAATGAAACGTGAAGAATGAACCACACGTGAAAAAACAAACTGCTGAACAAAGCAGAGAAAAACACTTGAACATGTGGAGAGCTGATGGGACGGACATCTGGACCTCCACCTCCTACGATAACTGTCTCTGACGTCTGTCCATCGACAGACCAGAGACGCAGACGGGCGGGACAGGAAGCAGCGGCGTGCCGCTCTGTCTGATGATCGACTGAACCCAGTGACATGAAACAGGGTCCCATCTCAGGCCTCGTTTCATTTGTCTGTTTTTGTATAAATAACATTGTGAGAACATGTTTCCGGTTAAAGGCGCCTTTATGCAGACGACACGGTGCTGAGATGTGTTTCAGCTGCAGGAGTCACTGGAGGTTTTTCAGTAAGCGCTCCGAGATCTCTCAGCGTTGGTGTTTTCCTTTAGGAGGAGATATTCGTGTATCCGGGTGAATGATGCTCTTTTGTTTAGAGTGCTTATTGAGCACTTGGTGGAAAATCTGAAGAAGGCTGAGACCTGTCTGTTTTTAAGTTTCATTGTCTCAGTGATATTGTCATGGTCCTGGGCCATGTGGGCCCAGCATTCGCAGTTGTGTGTTTTGTATTTCATTCCCTAGTCATGCCTTGGATTATTTAGTTAAGATGGTCCTTATTTGATTACCTCCTGTGTATCTGTGAGCCCTCGTCTCTCCTTGTGTTTATTTCTATGTTTTCCCAGCCCGTTATGTCTGTGTTCTCCCCGTGCTCTCTCTCCTCCTGTTTGAACCTCTGTACTTCCTGTTTTACTTTGACAGTCTCCCGTCAGTGTT